AGAAGGGGCCACTCTCCAATGCGGCCAACTGCTCTGCCAGCTGCGGCTCCTGCGATGCCTGCTCACCTAGCAAAATACAACGCTCAAGAGCATCATCAGTACCCGCACTCGTGATGGCGAGTGCGGTCTCAAAATCGGCAAGCACATCACAGTAGTCTATGTCATCATGCAAATGAGAATGTTTCCCATTGTCAGACACAGAAAAAGTAGCATGTTCATCACCAGCACGCAAGATCAATTTACCACTATGCACATCAATAAGGGCCTTGGCGGTGGCAAGAAATGGTCTACCCAAAATCAAAGGCACATCCACATCCTCATTTATATCCAAAATAACAAAATCAACAGGATATGTGAATGCACCGATATTAACAAGCAAGTCCTCAATGATACCCCTAGGATGCACGATAGAACGATCAGCTAACTGAATGCTCATCCTAGTAGCTCTAGGTTCACCTAGGTCTAGCTTCTTAAACAATTTATAGGGCATGACATTTATGCTAGCGCCTAGGTCCGCCAAGGACTTTCCTACATGCATGCTGCCAATAACGAGAGGGATAGTGAAACTCCCTGGGTCTTTGCGCTTCTCGGGCAGCTTGTTCTGCAGGATAGTAGAACACTCCTCGCTGAGCATCACTGTCGAAAGATCCCCAAGTTTCTTCTTGTTGGTGAGGAGGTCTTTCATGAACTTGGCATACTTGGGCATCTTTGACAGTGCCTCCACGAACGGCATGCTGATGTTGACCTGCTTCAACATTGCCATGAACTTGGCAAACTCTGTCTCCAGCTTGTCTTTATGAAGTCGAGTGGGGAAGGGCAGCTGAGGTGTATGCTCCTTAACCCCAGGCTGCGGCTTGGGAGCAGGTGCTTCGCTGCCTTCCCCCACTTCTGCAGTATCAGCTGGAGGTGTTGAAGCAGGTGGTGGGTCGTCTCGCCTGGGCTGGGCAGGAGCAGCAAATATGATCTTGCCACTCCTGGTGGTGATGGCGTCCAGCTGCTGGAGAGGGTCACGAGGATTGGGAACAGTGGTGGCAGGCAGAGTCCCCGGTGCCCTGGTGGTGTTCTGGCAAGCTAAGCTCCCAATCTGATTCTGTAGATCCTGCAGAATGGCACCTTGGTTTCTCTGGCCTGCCTCCAGTGAGGCTATGTTCTGATCCATCCTCGTGAAATTCGCCTGACTGGTGGTCATGAATGCCTGCAAAATATTCTTCAGATCAGCCATCTGATTATCTGGAGCTGCGGCTGCTGGAGGCTGAGCAAACTGGCGCTGGGGCTGCTGGAATGGCTGCCCTTGCCTAGGCTGGTAGGGCTGCTGCTGTGGTGGTGGCCCCTGCCTAGCCTGGAAGGGTTGCCTCTATTGAAAACCACCCGCTGGTGCTGGGAAACCAGGTGGTTTGGTGTTGTTGCTGCTCCAGGCGAAGTTGGGATGCTGGCGCCATCCCTCATTGTAGGTATTGCTGTATGGGTCCAGGCGCCGAGCATTAGCGATGAAGTCCACCTGCTCTTGGGGAGTAGAGGACTCCCTCATAGACTGACAATCCTCCACCAGGTGATTCGGGCTCTCACACCACTGACACTGAGCTACTGGAGGCGTAGCTACACCTCGGCCCGGAAGGAGACTGTTAGGCTGCTTCAATGTCTGCACCAACTCAGCCACCTGCTGCTCTAACCCGGACCTGGCCTCCATAGCATGCACACCCCGGTCCCGGGAATTCCTGCCTCTGTTGTTCTGTCCCCAAGAATGATCTCGGGCAGCCAAGGTACTAATCATCTGGTTCAGCTCGGGTGGAGTCTTAGTAAGAATGTCCCCTCCTGGGCATAGAGACTCAATCACCCTCTGGCTGTGTGGAGTGAGGGCGTTGTAGAAGTTCCCCACTGTGAATGCATCGCTAAAGCCATGATGGGGACACTGCCAGAAGTATCCCATGTACCGCTCCCATGCATCACGAAGTGACTCATCTGGCTCTTGGCGGAAGTGAGTGATCTCCCGCTGAATCTCTGTGGTCTTTGATGCTGGATAGTACCTGTGCACGAACTTGTCAGCCAGATCGTCCCAAGAAGTGATGGACAATGGGGGCTGGGTCTCCAACCACCTCTTAGCATTCCCCTCCAGAGAATGGGGGAAGAGGTGAAGGCGGATTGCGTCATCCGGGACACCTTTCAGCTTGAACCCGTTCGTCAGCTGCAGAAAACGGGAAAGATGTACCCGGGCTTCCTCATCCTTCAAGCCATGGAACTGGATAGAGGATGTAATGAGTTGAATCCAGCATGGCTTGATCTCAAAGTTGTTTGCAGGAATGAGCGGATAGAGGATGACCGGGTGGATGTCAGCAATCCGTGGAGTATAGTAGTACTCCAACGTGGGACCCGGTGGTGGTGGATTATGATGGGCCCCAGCTCCCTGGGGATTGGGTTTGTTCCCCAGGATCTGGTTCACCGGAGGTGGGTTTTGATTGCCTTCCATCTCGTACTCGTCTCAGACTCGCTGCTCAATTGGCCGTCTCTGCGCTCCACTGTAGCCAGTCTAGCTCGCTGTTGTCTCCGAAGATGGTTGCAGGTGCGTTCAATCCCAGGATTCAACGGCAGTAAACCTCTCGACTGGCTACGGGTCATGCACTATCTGCACACAATCAAGCAATGCAAACCCGTGAAGGCACAAGTGGGAAGGAACAAACACTCAATGCGAAAATGAAAATGCTAAAGTAACAGAAATCACTTTTCTTCAACAACCTAGCCGTCCCCGGCAACGACGCCAAAAACTTGACTCACTCTTACTGTCACTCTAGAAAATGGCCAAGTGTAACCACTTCCTAAAGCGTAGTATAACGGGTTTGGGTTTTATTGTCAACCCGGGTCCTAGATGTGATGACTACTCAGTGAATTCGTATTATCTAGCAATGAAACTTTAGTGAAACAGATTGAGGCCCTAGCGAACCAAACCTCCACTACCGAAGTGAATTCGGTACAGAATAGCGAATTGGCTCCTCGACTAAAGTCACCAATTCGCCACCTTCGATTAAGGATACTCTATCAACCTAGGCAGATATTCTCATTCTACGTCAAAGCAGAAACAACAGGAATTTGATCAGGATTCAAGTCATTCAATCATTCAAACCTCAATCGAATATAATCAATTCACAAACTTTGTACTTGGGTTCATACAATCAGACCTAGCATACAAATCTAGGGTTCCCCATACTCAGATGAATGGGGGAACTACTCCATAGAGAAAGAAGCAAAAGCAGATTCGGTCGCGGAAATCATACTGTGAAGACGGATTTATGCTCCTGGGCGTTTAATCGGCACTTCTCCAAGCTGAAGCCGGGCTCCAATGGTGATGAAGATCAATCTATGGCACTTGGGAACTCTGGTTCGTCGCTTTCTCTCTCTAGGGATCGCTTTCTCTCTCAAAAACTCGGAACCCTTCAATGTTGGCCTTCTTCCTCCTTAAATTGGCTGCCTGGTCGCGATACCCGGTCGAAATACCGGGTCGGGTATTTCGGGTTTCGACCGGGTATAATCGAGACGCGCCGTTTCATGTGATGGGAAAATCCCCGTTCTCTTTCCATAATCCCCGACCGGGGGTTTAAGCCATTTGCCCGGGCCCCCTTCTGTTTCCCACGGACGCCCGAAGTAAAAATTACCCGACCAGGGCCAGAAAATACCCGGTCGGGTATTTCTGCCTTTGGCCGGGTATTTTGGCTCTCTAACCCACTCCAAGCCTTACTTGCTCCTTTCGACCCAAATCTCGTTCCTTTGCCTCGATTCCACCGCCAAGTCCTGAAATATGACATAAACACACAACCTAGCGTGAAATCAGCTTAAAAGACGAGATTCCACATCACAAACGGCTTCAGAATAGGGGTGAAAACATGTGTAATTATCGGTCTATCATTATGTGTGCTTAACTTGTGTTCAATGAAACTGTAACGCGCTCTCAGCCATCACGCCACTTACTTTCTTAACTTTGATTGACTTTCATGTCTTGAGTTGGTTTTAGTTTAGTTATTGAGAATTAGGTTTTAGAGTTGGCTGTATGGATTGGGAATCTAGAACAGAGAATTGATATATTGATTGAGAGCATATTTTTTATTTATTGTTTGATTATGTGTCAAATATCCTATTTGATTTATTGTGTACTTTGGTTTTGAATTTGTAGATTTGCTATTATGGAGAGGTATTATCCAAAGAAGCCTCGAATAACCACGGATACTCCTGAAGGTGAAAATAGTGGATTGAATTCATTAGCACATGGATAGGATTCCAATTCAACTCCTTCTACGCCATCAGTGTCACAACCTCTCTCGGTAAATCACTCCATGACTAGCATTGCCTCTAGAGAGAATGAACTTGATGTGAACTCTTTGAAAGCTGATCCGGGGTTACGAGAACAAGTAGCACTATTTGATCCTAATGTTCAAGATATGATTAGAAGACATTATCTTCAAAAAGGTGTTTGTCAACCTGATCATGCTTTTCCATCTAGAGATATAGGGGGAACCTTGCGAAGCTTTAAGTCTTCTTGGTACAAAAAATATCATTGGTTGGAATATAGTATTGCAAAGGATGCTCCATATTGTTTGCATTGCTATTTGTTTAGGAGCGATGATGGTAAGAAGGTTGGAGGTGCTTCTTTCATTTCTAAGGGCTTTAGAGCTTGGAATAGAGGAGACGAGGGTCTTGAGAAGCATGTTGGACATGTCAATAGTGAACACAACAAAGCTGTGAGAAAATGTGAGGACTTGTTGAAGCAGTGTCAAAGCATTGGAGTTTCTTTGTTTAAACAATCAGATCAAGCAAAGATGGATTATAAAATTCGTTTGCAAGCTTAAATTGACTGCATCAGGCATTGTGTACGCCAAGGGCAAGCACTTCGTGGACATGATGAATCAGAGTGTTCAAAGAATAAAGGAAATTTTATTGAACTTCTGAAATTTCATGCTCGTGGTAGAAAAGATGTGGAACATGTTGTGTTGAGAAATGCTCCCAAGAACCTTCAAATGACTTATTCAGACATACAAAAGGATATTGTACATGCAATTGCAACTGAAGTAACCAAGCAAATCATATGCGAAATTGCTGATGATATTTTTTCTATTTTGGTGGATGAAGCTCGTGATACATCAATCAAAGAGCAAATGGCTATTGTGTTGCGATATGTAAATGAAGAAGGATATATGATGGAGAGGTTTCTTGGGATTGCTCATGTAACAGATACAAAAGATTTGACTCTTAAGATGGAAATTGAATCAATGCTTGTGACAAATGGGTTGAGCTTGTCAAAAATAAGAGGACAAGGCTTTGATGGGGCAAGCAATATGAGTGGGGAAATGAATGGACTCAAGACTTTTTTTGCACCACCTTGGCCTAATTCCTGGCTACGCCACTGTTGGTATGTCATTTGTATAAGTAATTTAGTTAATAAAAGAGGATAATTATATCATTCTATTATAATTAGTAAATACTTATCGAATTCATTTGGAAATTCCATCTCAATTTCTCGGAATTGCTATTACTAGTTCCAATTCCATAGAATTCAAAATTTTAGAATTGAAAATGAATTCTTTTAAATACCAAACAAAAAAAATGTTTCATTTCAAAATGAATTCCAATAAACTTATGGAATTCATTTATACCAAACGGTATGTTAATTGATTTGGGAAATATCATGATTACCATTTTAACATCCTACATCTACTTCATTATAGACCATACTTCAATCATTTTCGAAATATTTTTTGCACCAACTAAATTGTCTGTGCTTACATCATCCACTCTATACCAGACGACTGATATATACATTTCGATTTGTGCTTCCTTTCAAACAACAGATAAATAATCCGATTCATTAATGATCACTGGTCTTTGATTGGATTTTTCAAAAAATTACTTTAGGCTTGAATTTTCTTTGAGATTTCGAGATGGAAAGAATTTCTTGAACAATTGAAAAATACAAGAGAACAAAATTACCAATGAAAGTAAAGAAGTCGAAGTGAAAATTTAACATGATTCACTTTTTCAATGTTCTCTTAATTCTGCAATTAAGCACAAAGGTCTAATTCACAATAATAAAATCTTTGTCAACCAGTTCATAGTAAAAAGAAAGATGATATAGTTTAGGTTGCGTCTATGGTGACATGCATGTCACCGTAACTTGCACTTTTCGGTCGATTTTCAGTTAGAATTAGGTCGACTTAATATGTTGTATCAGTGTAAAAACAGTTTCATGGTGCCTACTTTTGAGATTCATACCTACAATTGGCGTTATGGAAATTGGAGATTAATGGCTTGTTTTAGAATTTAGAGTGTCCCTCTACACATTGAAGTACTTGGGAGTTCGATAGGAAGTCTTGAAGACCATTTTTGAACCTGATCAAAAGGCTATGCCAAAATTGGGAAAATGCCTAAAAATGGCTAAGTCTGAGAAAGTGTTTGTGAAGCCTACTTTGGAGCTCAATTCGAGAAGCATGGATGAGATTCGAGTCCAGCGGCCTCTACCACATGAAAGTAGGTATGTTTGTCTACAAAGTCAAGGCATTGGATGAAATATTGGATATCTGGAAGGCTTCAAACAAAAGGCTCTAAGTTTCTACGAAGTAAGCTGCCTTCTAGTACAAGACTGAAACAGCAGATTAGGTCGACCTAATCTTATATGAGTTCGACCTAAAAGTGCAAGTTAGCAAAGTCCTATAGTTTATGCTCATTTGGCTTAGTTTAGAGCTTATAGGCTACACGGTGTAAAATTTAATATACTGTATGTGAAAACTTGATGATGCTCTTACGTCGATTAAGTTTTTTTTATGATCTACGATGGTAATCAAACGAAAGATGAACTCACCAATAGGAAACTGACATCTGACTGGTTGAACTTCTACGTCCAATGATGATTGGAGCTAAGAATTTTCCCAAACAAACCCCACCCGCTGGAGTATGGAGTGAGTCTAATTGGGACTGGAGAAAATGATTTGTACATTGCACAAGCACTTCAACATTCGAGTAGGAGATCTGATCGAAGAGTATTTTGTAAGCCAAAGTGATACTAGAAGATTAGTAGAAGATTAGATCTTCTAGGATCGTGTATTCCCAAGGGTTCCATTTGCTTCACTACTCGAACCAATTACTAGCTTTCCAGAAACCAATTATGGTTGTGGTTTAACAAAAATATTTTTAAAGCTTTGTAAATCAAAATAAAAAAGAACTAAACCTTAAATGGGGTTAATTACATAAATATTGTGTTTTTTTTTTCAATTTATCACAAATCAGGCGGATTAATAAGTATTGACATATATATTGTGTTTTGGAGAGCAAAACCAGCGAGACTACCTGAGACTCAGGCGCCGGTGCCGTTTCCGTTTTTTTGGATCATTCAATTAAAGTTTACAGTGGCAGCGCCAAAGACTGAGGTAGTACCACCTGAGACTGAGGCGTGATGTGGGAAATTGTACCTGACGATGGCGCCCAGGACTATGGCGGGTTCGCTGGCGTATTGCTGGCTACCCACTATAAAACTAGCGAATTTCGTTTCAATAGTTCACCACAAAAATATCAACAAAGTTTGAGGAGGAGCTCTGGTTGCTGCTGCAAAAATGGCTAATAGGTAAGAGACACATTTATTTTTCTAATTATATTATTCAGATGCTATTATGATTTTCTTTAGTTAATTAGTGAGTTTGTTTTTTTGTAGTGATTTTAGAAGATTTGAACTAGTCGTTCGGTGGAAATCGGAGAAAGTAGAGGATAATTTGGGTTGAATTCGTTGGTGGTAGTAGTTTTCAGTTGACGGTTCCATCCAGGGTGACATATCACAAACTTCGTGAGAATCTAATTCCCAGAATACGATGTAGAGACGAAGCAGTACAAGACAGTGATGTTATCACAGGTTTCACTTACCGTCTTCCATAATGGCAGAATGGTGTTTTATTTCATTATTCGATGCCTATTGTGGATGATGATAGTTTGAATGTGCTTTTCGATTTTATGGCACAAAACCCTTATTGTTTGGGTGTTGAGATATATGCTGAGCTCAGTGAGAATCGGGATGGAGATGAAGAAGATACACGGAGCATGCCATCCGATCATGACGATGTTGACGGAGAGGAGGAGGAAGAGGAGGAGGAAGGAGAGGAGGAGGAGGAGGAGGAAGATGGCAAAGGAGAGCAGCCTAATTATCCTCCATATTTTTACTTGCAGGGTAATGAAGAGGATGACGAATTATCATATGATGATTCAAATGGCGTAATTCCAATGCATGTTGTTGCTAGTTTTGAAGGAGAATTCTACAAGGGGCAGATATTTCACTCGAAACAAGCTGCATAGGTGGCGATTAAATACCACGCACTACAACGCAACTTTCAATATGGCGTGGTGGAGTCGTCACCTTCAATCTGGAAGGTCAGATGCTTGAGGCACAAGGATGACAATTGTCCTTGGATGGTGCGGTTTGGATGTCGAAATGCTGGAAGCGAATGGACTGTGAGAAAGGCCGAGTTGGTGCATTCTTGTAGCAGTACGACTCAACCGACGGATCATCGCCATCTTGATGTCGATATTATATCTAAGGCCGTCAAACATTTGGTACGTGCCCAACGAAATCTGAGTGTTCTAACTGTGCAGGCCGAGTTGAAAGATAAGTTTAATATGCAAGTTACTAACAAGAAGGCTTGGTATGGGAAATAAAGAGCATTGGAGAAGTTGCATGGAAATTGGGAAGAATCGTACGATTATTTGCAAACATTCTTTATTGGGTAAGAGTTCCTTCAGCTCAACCAGGTCATTCGATCTTTCAACGAGTATTCTGGGCTTATGGACCTTGTATAGATGGATTCAAGAATTGTCCAGGAGTCATGGTTATTGATGGAACATTTCTTACTGGAAAGTATAAAGGAGTGCTACTCATGGCGAGCTCATTTGATGACCGCAAGAAGATTTTTCCAATAGCATTTGCCATCATGGAGAGCGAGAATACTGAAAGTTGGTCATGGTTCATAAATCACTTTCAAGGTTTGACCGATCGAAATGATGGCTGCATCATCTCAGATAGACATGTGGGACTCCATGAAGCCATGGGTGACATCGGAAGAGGTTGGGAGTGGAGGTGGTGCATGCGACACTACGCAAGCAACTTGCAAAGAAAGACTAAAAGCAAAATCATGTATAAGCAACTATTTCGAGTTGGTATGCCTTCTTCATTTAATTTTGTTATTTACTTTAATGTAATTTTGTCATGATTTTATCTAACTCGTGTGGTTATTACTTTGTTAGCTGGAGAAAAATGCTTGGAGAAGTTCGATCGTCAAGTTGAGAAATTTAAGAAGGTGACTGCTGATAGAAATATTTCTTGTGATAACTGGGTGGACCAACATCAAATTCGTTGGAGCTTAGCGCATGATAACTATAATAGTGGGCGTCGATGGTCTATCTTGACATCCAACATGGCAGAGAGCATCAATGGTGTTTTCAAAGGTATTCGTTCACTTCCTATAGCTTCTCTTGTGCAACATACCTATTGGCGATTGGAGGAGAAATTCGATAAGATGATGTTGGAGACAGGAGCACAAATTAGAAGTGGTCCTTCAAAGTATTCCACGAAGTGCGAAGAGCTGATGAAGCTGTGGTCACAAAAGGCAGTTGGACATTCCGTGACAGCGATTGATCGACATCAAGGCATTTATGTAGTTCAGACTCCTCCCAACAATTTCAACATGACGGGGTCAAACATACTCACAGTGCACTTTGACGACCGCAACCGGGCGGGATTTTGCACCTGTGGGAAATTTCAAGGAAAATAAAATTCCTTGCTCTCATGCCATTGCAGCTTGCAACCGAATGGGGGCTAATCCGTATAGGTTTGTAAACGATGTCTACAAGCTGGAACAGTGCTGGCTTGTTATGGAACAAGTTTCACACCTCTTGGTGAACCTAAGGGTTGGAAGAAGCATAATGGTCATATTCTCCATCCTAATGTGCACATGATTAGGAAGCCGGGGAGGCCACGAGTTACAAGAATTCATAATGAGATGGATTGGCCAAGAGAGGGTGTATCTCAAACAGTGTGTAGCAACTGTAACCAAAGTGGCCATAATGCATCAACTTGTGGTGGCCAAGCAAGTGGGAGTGGGAGCCAGCGAAGAGGAAGTGTTGGCCAACGACGTGGGAGAGGTAGTGGAAGAGGAAGTAGTGGTAATAGACGTGGTATGTAGTTAGGTCGAATTTTTATCAAATGTATTTGTTGTTGTTTTTCATGTAGTTGTTATGGTTTGAAGTAGTGGTTGTATTTTCACGCGTATCGTTAATAACATAATACATGAAGTTAAAAATAGCCCACATAATAGTCTCAAAGAAGTACATAATAATAACATAACATAACAAAACATAACAAAAATAATAGTGTCAATAACGACCACCACGACGAACACCACCACGACCACCATGCTCC